GTCCTCATATAGAGATATTTCCACCCCAGCCCTGTCCCTGATTAAACTCCTAAAAAGATAAGTTGTCATCGCCGAGGATTCTTCAACCCATCGCGTAAACTGCACGCCACCGTGTGCCTGACGTGGGTTCCAAGTCGTCACCACACCTGTTTGAAAAGCTGCACCAATAATCTGGCTGGTGCTTGCTCCGACCACTTGGGTGACCACGATTACTGCAACTCCATGAAAACACCCTTGAGCTCCTGCCGAAGAGATGAAACTTGATGAAGCTGTCATCAGCAAATCGACCTTGCCCTACTATTTCTCGGAAATTCAAGACTTCTATTCCCTTGGCTCCTAACCTTGCAATCTGCGATGCAAATGTGGCCGCAGCTGTAGTAGTAGGCTACTTTCTCGCTCAAAAGCGCAGGAACGGGGCGGGAGGCCAGTGATACCATGCTGCTATCTCCATACTCCGTTCCGCCCAACCCTAGCTGAGTAAGGGCTTGCTACGAAACTTTGGTATCTCCGCAAATGCTGCACCTTGAGGTTGGCGCGGGCGAAGTATGAAGCTGACCGAGCAGCTCCACAGTCCTGCCCGTTTCCCTACATTTTGCGCTTAGTGTCGCACAACTACAGCTGCGAACGCATTTGCCTCTCACATGGCAAGGACCTCCCTCGTGAATGAGTTCACAGTTTGTCTTCAAGCGTACACTAGACGTTTACCAAGGCCAAGACGCATCCCTCTCATCGGCACCATCGTGCTGAGGTAGCATATCACCAACATACCTCAGTCTACGTCAGACCATGTAACCTTCTCCTTGCGCTTTTTCCTCGACAACATGACATGGGTTCGCCTTATCAGATGACCACACATCTAGACTTCTCGGAAGTTCCCCCTCCCGAGGCTCAGACCACTTATCCGAGCCATTTTCAGAAAGTACTTTCACACAGATACCATGACCGCAAGCCAAAGCTATGCCAGAAAGTTAATTAATAGTTGGTTTGGTTAGCCGACAGCCCTGTTAAAATTAACCGCGTGTTCTAGGGCCTGACTCCACCCGAACAGGGTGATACAGCATCGTTGTGTGAAACACGGGGGAGAATACTTTCCCGCTGAGGGGGGGGGGTCGTACTTGGCCGTTGGGAGAGAGGGATTGTGTCTACGTTTGAGAGAAATTTGAAATTTGTGGGAGAAAATTTTTCCCGGTTGTTGACTTTTCGTGATTTTTCCTGTTTCACTGCTTCATGTGTACTATATACCCCCCTACCCGCTCGACAGCAAAATTTTTGTGGAAAACTGGAAAATGTGGGAAACTGGTAAGTACGTGTTGGGTAGCATAATCTTTTGCGGTGAAAACTGAAAAATGTGACCGAACTGGTACGTAGTGTGTTGAGTAGCTGGAGAGGGGAGGGGAGGGGAATCGTACAAGATCCCCCATTTAGTGGAGTCGTCTACCTGACACTTTCTCGGAGGGGGGGGCACCTACACTACGATTCCACAGTATCATATGTCCGCTACCATTGTACACGAATCGTTTTGATACAAGTTCCTCCTTTGCCACCTGGATAAATCACCTTTGTCCATCGAGTGTTGTTACAAACAAATACACCACAAAATTTCATTACATAAAAGCTCTACATAAATAATATGCTACGAAAAAAGGAAAACCCTACATCACTACAGAAAAAGTGTACGCTCTATAAGTGGTAACTGATTCTACGAAACATTGGGAAACCACAACTTTATTAGACGCAGACAAGCACACATTGTAGACGTTTATCTTTACCGGCAATGTAGAGTGATTAAGATCGACGACACGCGAATATTCCGTACTCTTGTCATACTGGAAAAACGAGATGGGAAAAAGAGAAATGTGTTATTTCACCGAGCGCTCACACCTTTAGAAAATAGATTAAAGTGCCAAGATGGAGCTTGAAAACTAACCATGAAATGAGCTTGACGAAATGTGGGTTAAGAGAGATGCACGCTCCGGCGTCGAAGATCGAGGAGTGAGTGTCGGACAAGAAGTCAGTTGACACTACTTGGTCCTCAGTGTAGCCCAAAATGCCCTTCATTCCACCTTCCGCAGCAGATTTGATTACCTAAACGAACACATAAGTGCGACTTATGACAGACTTTCATCTCAATCCAAAAGATGTATTCTTACCTTCTTAATGTCACCATGCTGGCGGCTTCTCAAGACGATCAAGTGGAGATCGACAAAAAAACAACGCAGGCGTGGCACACGAAGGCCATCCGGGAAGCTTGCCATTCAGTGCGGATAACCTTACCGACAGCTTTAGCAGCGCCAGTAGAGGCTGGAATGATATTCTGAGCAGCACCACGTCCATCACGCCACAACTTTCCAGACGGTCCGTCGACAGTCTTCTGTGTAGCTGTGGTTGCATGTACAGTGGTCATTAATCCTTCGATGATTCCAAAGTTATCATGATGACCTTGCCAAAGAGCTAGACAGTGGTACATGACGCTTACCTGAAAGCCAGAGATATTTAACACAAAGTGGCCATTCGCATACTGACGAGGTAGATCCTTTCCATAGTAACGGAAAGTTTGTCGCTGCAGAAACCAGCACTTGCTATCTCAAACCGCGGCTTATTCGCCAAAGCGCCCGGCGTGGTGTGGGGGGCGTGTTCTTTTTTTGGTTTTTTGGGCCCGGGTTTTGTGTACTCTATCCTTTGGCTCATTTCATGTACTGTGCATGCGTGGCGTGTTCTCTGGCATGATCAGTGTGCGTATCTGTGCGTATGCGTGTGGATCTATCGTATGCGTCTGGAGCTGTGTGGGTTGTAGTATATCTGAGGTGTCGTGTGGCGTCTCTGGGTGCGGTGCGTATCGGGCGGACTGTGCTGATTCTGGGGTGTGCGCTTGCTATCAAAACGGTAGACGGAGAAATAAGCTACATTAGCTAGCTATTGGAACATATAACCGTCGTCCAATCAAAAGTGAACGGCAGTTACGCTAGAAGCATGATATTCCTTAGGTTCCCGGCAGTCGCTCGATGCCCTCACACACGCCACAGCCACGCCACACGACCAGTAGTGTGATTATGGTTAGGCGTGTAGTTGGCCGTGTGGCGTATCCGTGGCGCACGTGATGCGCGTCAACTTCTGGGCGGAGCCGTTAAAAACTCCTAGCTGTCGGAAGCCTCCAGCTTCAAAATGGCGCGCTCTTGAGGGTGAGGGTGCTAGATTTCTACAACTATGGAGCTCATTACATCGCATATCGAAAGGATCCGCCTGTGCTGCGATCTTACTGTGCCCTCACCTGATAATATGGTTGTTGGCAGCGTTGTAGGTCTCATTGTTTACACCCATAACAAACATTGGAGCGTCAGCTGATGGTGCAGAGATGACCACCTAAACAGTCTCTTTAGCCTTGTGAAAAAACAATTATTCAACAGATTTGGACTCTCAAAAATTCGTACCTTCTTGGCGCCACCCTTCAAGTACTGACTTAGCCTTATCGCGTGACCGTGATAAAAACACCATTGTATTTCAACGATGTATTCAGCTCCATCAGCTCCCCATGGGATTTCGGCGGGGTCCTTGCTGAAAGTACAATCTTTAAACACAGTTATCAGTCAAACACCGTTTTCAGGATCATAATATTCCTATGGAAAACAGGTAACCCGCAAAGTAAACTACCATTCCTGAAAATCGCCACTTATTCAGACGGAACCCCACAACCGATCACCCAACTCCATCATCGCCTCTTCTACACCACTAAACCAACTCTGTCAGTTGACCTCTGACTTCGAACAGTTGCCCGCCGCAGCGAAACAGGTTTCCCGTCCCTCAACTAGTGTGTACACCGATGAGCACAGCCAATCAATGGCCTTTTTTCATAACGATTAGAAAGGATATTAGCTCTTTTCTCGCATATGTAATATGTGCACGTTCTCAAATTTAGATTCAAAATCAATACACCTTATCACAAAACATCAGCAAAACCCTGAGCGTCCATAAACTTGATAAAAGAATGCAACCAGATCGATACTTTTTTCCTGTTTAGAGAAAGGTCGCTCAGCTGAGCATAGATCGATTTGAAAGGGAAGACTACTCCCAATCTCCCTCTAAACGAAAGTTGCACTCGACAAAATGTCAGGAAACGCTATTCTAACTCAAGAGCATTCTATCGGGACGGCAAAGTACTCAGTTTTTTGTCACTTTACACTTATCCCCTGTCAGCGGTGTACATTTACCCTTTTGCCAGTGATTCCTCGTCAACTTCCCCTGCCCAAAACTAACTTCCCCTAACCAAAACTATATCTTAGAGGGCACATTTATAGGACTACCGGTGTATAACTGAGACCAGCTTCATCTGAATGGGAATGCACCGCTTGGAATTAATTCCACACCCCGGACCATTTCCACTTAAGCTTAGCAAAAGGTCCTCCACCGAGGACCATTTAGGCCATTTTCCTAAGCCGAAAGGCCCTATCTCCATCATGGTAACTTTAGCACGTAAACTATCAGTGCTACGAATGCCTCTGCTCCGCTGGCCGATTACTCTACAGGAGGGACTAACTCAGTCCTTCTCATAACACTCTTACTTTTCTCGTAATAAGGTTAGTAATCTTGGGAGAGCAGGTGGGGGAGGGGAAGATTTTGCACTCTCGCTACCACGTGTCGAACTATCAAGTGGAGAGCTGTGGATTCTTGTGAAGCCACGAAGTGATAAAGAGCAAACGTCAAAACGTCCCCACCCCCTTTCTCGTCGCCGAACTGCGCCCGTCTTTGACTTCGGAACAAAATGGAGAGATAAGCGCTCTATAATCCCACAAAACCACTCCACAAAATGAATACGCAAACAGAGATAACAGCGCTGACCAGCGATAACAGCTATCTTCCCACATTTGCGCCTCTTAATTCCAGCAATCAATGAATTTGATGAGTAGCAGAATTCCCTATCTCCCCTTTCCCCTGATGTAAAACTTACTCAGTCCTCAAGGGGAACTCCCAATATTACTAGTCAGTCCCAAAGTCCCTCGTAGACAACAACATTCGGAGATTGAAAACGACGAGACAACGCCATGTGGCGCACAAATAACCCCGCCATCGTCACTCAACGGCCGCAATGCAGCAAACTGCACGCTCTTTGAGCAAAGAACATTCACACGCTAATGCACCTTTGTGGGGAAGAGAACATTTTCCGCAGAATAGA